GAGGGCTGCCGGGCTGCCAGAGGGATGTCTGACTGCCAGCTTGGGCCTGATCCCCCAGGGAGCGGGCCTAAGCCAGCAGGTGGACATCCTTCGAGGGGTCCCAGACTGCAAGAGGTCATAGGCTGGACTGAGGGACCCCCCCCACCTGAGTGCACAAATTTTTGTGCACTGGGCCTCTAGTTGTCAATAAGAGCCTATTGAGACTCAGTCCTCAGGCTGTTGGAATGATCATAAATATGTGTGATTCTGGGCCTGAGGAGGAAAGCAGTGAGAAAGTAATATGGCAGCTGTAGTCAAGACAGGTTTTGTGGTTTTGGGAATCAGGGCTTATAAGACTTGCTCTTTAACTTGTGGAATGTAAGAAACTTCATTTATTTATTTATCTGCACCTTAGTGTTGTCTATAGAAAGTGAGGATAGGCCTGGCCGGTGTTGTTCAGTGGTTAGAATGCCATCCTATATGCTGATGGGTCCCAGGTTTTATTCCTGGCCAGTGCACAGGCCCAGGTTGCAGGTTCAATCCCTGGTGGGGGTGCGTGAGGCAACTGATTGATGTTTTTCTCTTGCTCTCCCTCTTTCTTACTCTCAAATCAATGAAAAACATATCCTCAGGTGAGGATTAAAAAATAAAAAGTGAGGATAATATTTGCCAAATCACTTAAGTAAGAAGGAATCAGTAAGAATGTACCTAGTACTTTGTACTTTGCTATTATTTACCTTCCAACATGCCAGTAACATTTCACCATGTCAACCTGTGGCTTTTCATAGTTCTCACCCACTAGATCAGTGATGGCGAACCTTTTGAGTTCGGCGTGTCAGCATTTTGAAAAACCCTAACTTAACTCTGGTGCCGTGTCACATACAGAAATTTTTTGATATTTGCAACCATAGTAAAACAAAGATTTATATTTTTGATATTTATTTTATATACTTAAATGCCATTTAACAAAGAAAAATCAACCAAAAAAATGAGTTTGCGTGTCACCTCTGACACGCGTGTCACAGGTTCGCCATCACTGCACTAGACTGACCTAACCAGTAGTGAGGTGGGTAGAGTCAGGAGGTTCCTACTTTGGGGAGACTGCAGTGGGAGGAGCTTCCTGTTCTATTGCTCAGGAGGCCTTAGGTGAGTGTCCAGACCTCACTGTAACAATAACTGTTTCATGTTCCCCAGAGAATAGTGAGCTTCCTTTCTTCCTGCTCTCTGGATTTCACAAGTCTGGTCTTTGGACTTGAATTTTTCAAAACACATTCTGATCCTTCCAAAATTGCTCTTTCTAAAATCTGCTAGCTGTGTTTACTAACGCAGTTACCTGGCTGAAGAAAGAAAAACCTGTATGTTTAAATAGCTTAACTTTCCACGAGGAAGGAAAGCCCTCCCAGAGACATTAAGAAAAATGAAACCAAGCGAGTTAACATATAAACTATTTATTTTATTTCCATTCCTAAAATGCATCTGAATTTATTGACTTGCTATTTAAAATAGGCCTTTTGCAAAATCATCTCAGAAAATATACTAAATTTATTAAAATACATGCAAACTATTTCTGAAGATTCTACTCTTAAACCCTCTGACTGATCAGCCCAGCACTTGTGATGATTTTCAGAGGTTTTGGTGGTTGCCAGGAACAAAGAAATCATCTTGGGATGGGTGGAAATTTGACCAGAATAATCCAACAAATACTTGCCCACTTCTTTACACACTCACAAGTTGTCTGCTTTTTAGGGGCTCTTACGAAGTGGACCTAATTATACAAGGTTTTCCTAGTAACCGTGGGCCTTTTCCTTGCCTGCAATTGACTGCATTCAGGAAAGTATATGCTAGATAATAAGGAAAAGGAACCCAAGACCCTTAACTACCTCAGACAGTTTCATGAAAATACTAAAGTGTCAAGTGTAATTTTCAACTAGTCTTTCTTTATTCAGTTTGCGAGTCATTAAGATATTTCATTTCTCATTTCTCGAAGTTTTCTTTTGAGTGATTTAACTACTTAGTTCACCAAGCTCTCAAATCAAAGAGGGGGTGAAATCCAAATCTGTTGGGTAACAACTTAAATAAGATAGTTGAAGTTACTGAATAAACTAAGGTTTGCGGATAATGGTAGACTTTAATTATGAAAGCTCATTGTTTCCTCATTGTTTTTTAAAATATATTTTAAAAATATATATATTTCTATTGACTTGAGAGAAGAAGGGATAGGGAGGGAGAGACAAAAACATCAATGATGAGAGAGAATCATGCCTCCTGTATGCCCTCCACAGGGGACCAAGCCCATAACCTGGGCATATGCCCTAACCGGAATCTAACCGTGACCTCCTGGTTCATAGGTCAACACTCAATCACGGAGTCTCCTTGGCTGGGCTCATTGTTTCCTTTTAAAGGAGAGTGCAAAGCTATTTTGTATTTGTTTTGTTTTGTTTAGCTAATTTATTCAACAAATATCTCTTAAGCACTTATTATATACCAGGCATTGGGAATACAATGATGGGAGAACAAACAGCACTTTAAAAAAGTGCTCATAGAAATACATATTTACAAATGATGGTGTTATACAAGAAAACAACGTAGAAGTAAACTCAATCCAAGTGCAGCCTAAACAAAACTAGAAAACAGCGGTGCAACCTAACATGGACTGATTCTTTGGGAGACAATAGAAAATGGCTAAGTAGGGTATAAGGTAAACTTTTTAGGATGAAATTCAGCTTTACCTAAAAAAGGGTTTCTCTTTTCCCAATTAGGATTTAAGTGTAAAACGAAGCCTTAGGTTATCTGAGCCATTCATTCAGCTCTCTGCTCCCCACTGGCGCTATTTCACAGCATATCCATAGATGTGAGGGCGCACCAGCGCCATAGACAGCGGGGCGTGTATGTGCTGCAGCTGTAGCTTGGAGAAGCCTGCCCGCTCCACCGCCTTCCAGCTCTCTCTGGTCAGGTTGCACCCATCAAACAGCAGGTACCAGACAGGATCCAGGACCTGCTGCCAGAAGTAATTCCAGGTTGAGTGCTCAGCTGCTACATGCTCCAGGAAATAAAAAGCCCCTCCCTGAAAAAGAAAAGAAAACCCATTTTAGTGTTCTGTCTCTGCTTTGCAAACCTGCGCGAGTCTGAATCCACACCACGCACTGCCTGAGACTAACTAACCATGTCTTATATTTTTGTACCATTGTCACAAGAACGTAAGCATGATTAATTAAAATACTGAATCAGGTAAAGGTGTTAATGAATTCATGGTAACATTTTGTCAGTAGGTATTTTACTCAACAGTGGATGCTCTGTGTAAAGTACTGTCAGGCAGGAATCTGCAAGTGCTGCTTTCATCTAGGACAGTCCTATAAACATAGGTCAAGTATAGACCCAATAGAGGCTACACGTTTTTAGGAGGTCTTCAGAAGTGCTCTACCATCTCTAAGGTGAGCAGGAGGAAAGGGACCTAACAATTACTTCCAAAACCCGTGGTGGCTGCCCCACTCTTCCTAACCTCCTCCAGCTACTCTAATCTTGGCTATCCCAGGCAGACAGCTGAGAGATGGAGTTCCCCCAAATTCTCTGGGTAAGTCTAAGATCTGTGTTCATGAATGGGAAAGTTGCTATTTCCTGATTTTAAAAAATGCCACAGAATTGGACAGGAGAGAGAGGAGGCGACTCGGGTCTGGGAGGTTGATATTGCTCCCTGGATAACACAGCGGCTGCCAAGAGGACAGCTGCATATGCAGGTTTACGGTTAGAAGGGAGATCTGGGCTAGATATTTTGATTTGGAAACCATCTGTGTATGGGTAGTAATTGAAAAATTTTGGGGTGAGTGATATAGCCCAGGGGGATATATAAGTGAAATGAGAACCGAAAAAGAAACATCAGTATTTAGGGATGGGTGGAGGAAGAACAGTCAGCAAAAGTGATAGGAATGTTGAAGTCAGAGAAATGAAAAGTCCAGTGACAAGCAATGTGGTCAGCCATAACAATATTTGCATTAAATGAGGTCAGTCCTACTAGCTATGTAACTTTGGGCAAGTGTCTTAACCTCTTTGAGTCTGTTTCCTCAACCCAACATGAAGACAATACCTACGCCCAGCTGGTGTGGCTCAGTGGTTGAGCGTCTACCTGTGAACCACGAGATCATGGTTGGATTCCCGGTCAGGGCACATGCCTGGGTTGCCAGCTCGATCCCCCGTAGGGGGTATGCAGGAGCGAGCCAGTCAATGATTCTCTCTCATCATTGATGTTTCTATCTCTCTCTCCCTCTCCCTTCCTCTCTGAAATCAATAAAGATATGTTTTAAAAAATGGGGGGGGGTGGGGGAGAAAAAAGACAATACCTACTTTAAAGGGCTGTTGTGAGGATTAAGTGAGACTGTGATAAAGCTCCTGGTTATAATCAGCAAAGAGCAGTGCTTCCCAGGAGCTAAGGCTGTCTACCAAGAATATGACCTCCTTGAGAGCATTGTCAGTACAGGGAAACGGAGATGTTCATTACTTGCTTTGCAGGGGTGTTGTGAGATTAGTAACTCTGTGAGCAAAACATCTACTAACCATGCCTAGTAAGTGTGCAGGCTTAGGACACAACCCAGCTCTGAAATATAAGAATCAGACCTTTTTCATTTATTACTTTGATGTCGGCCTATCCTTGGGCCAAAGACAAAATTACATTTTGCCTCTAAATACTTATCTCCGAGTCCTTTTCTTCCTCTATCCTATATAATAAAAGCGTAGTATGCAAATTGTCCCCTCCACCGGGAGTTGTCTGGGGGAGAGTTTGACCAGGGGGCGGAGCTGGCCGGGGGAAGGGAGGGAGGCCCCGGGCGGCAGCTGGCAGCTGGCAGCTGTTAGGGACCCTACCAGTGCCTGAATTTCGTGCACTGGGCCTTTAGTTCGGAAATAAAATGGGGGATTACAGACACCCTTTTCTCCTAGAAAAGTAAATGAAAAGGTCAAAATATCCATACTTTGTGTTTAACTATATTTAGAGTAAAACTATTTTAAACTAGTTTTTAAAAAATTAATAAAGGTAAATGTGGAAATTACATACAGGTATTAAGAATCTCAAACTATGCAGAAAGGTGTAAAATGAAAAGAAATTCTTCCTCACCTCCATCCCATTCCCTAGAGGTACCACTGCTAATATTTTCTTGTCTGTCATTCCTATTAACATATACATTGAGTGGCCAGATTATTATGACCACTCCATCAGTACTTCATTGACACTTCCAAAAATGCTGAATATTGAAAACTTCTTAAGCAAATACTCTCAAGGTTTTATTATTATTA